CCTCAGAAGAAGCATGTCCTGTACTTTTTTGTGCTTTGCATAACATTGTGACCTCAGAAGAAGCATTTCCTGTACTTTTTTGTGCTTTGCATAACATTATAAAATTGAGAACCCATGTCCACCATAGAAATCATTGATGGCTTCATTGGTACTTTAGTGGACAGGAATTCTTAAAAGTGGAATTTATTTCATATGGTATAAAAGTGAGATGAGGGTAAATCTTCTTCCCATGATGTTCGCTCCAAGGCAGATTACTAGAGAGCTGAGGGTGTTGGAATAGAATTGTCCCCATCCTACCAAAAACACACCCTACTTCATGATATATCAAATATGGCTGTATCCTTTTCCACATCTAAATCTCAAATAATACTTAAGCAGCCAAATTAAAACACTAGATTGGCTGTTATTGTTATTACCAATATTTACCAGTTAATTGTTCAACTTTCCCTTAGCTTTTACTGTATAGACCAGAATTAAAATCCTGGAGTGGAGACTAAAGTACTCCAGATGAGATGCCAGTGTAACAGGTGACAATTATTTTAAGATAACTTCATGTTTTCAGAAATCTTAAAAATAAATATAAAGACTATCGGTACCCAAAGGGACATTCTAATATTTGCCCTGTGACATAGTAAGTGCTCAATATATGTTTATAACTGAAAATATGTTTCTCTGGAGTTTTATCTCTTTAGTTATATTGGGAAATATCATTTTGTAAAAAATTATTTTACGAACGTTAAAGGATGCATTTATTTAACTGTACAGGCTCAGGCCAGGTCTGCTACTACAGAGCAAGACAAATAACCCAATCAATTTCTACTGATTCTGGGCAGTGCTAACAGCAGAGTCAAGTAATTTAATAATCAAAATGAGCTGGACAAGAGAACACAGAGTTGGTGTGTTCCAAATAGACATATAAATTGAATACTTATGAATCTTTTCTTTGTGTTCAAATGTCTGCTTCTTTCTGGTTGTTATTTGGAAAGTAAAAGTTTAAGGAGTAGCTGGGTTGAGCTTCCATGGGCCAATCACCATTATCTGGAGGGACCACAACACTCACCTGGCTCTGCCTTCTTTGATAAACATCCTTTCTCTGCTTATAGATATGTCTGTGTCCCTTGTCATTTATATCCAGTGATAAGTGCTTTGTGTTTTATCTGGTATTTTATAGGATACCTTTCATTTCATTGGTATGGTATTTTAATATTTATTTAATTATTTATTTAATATTTAATGATTATTCTATTGGCAGTGGTGATTATATAATGATGATCCACTTTCAGTTCACTAGGCATACAGTTTTAAACACCTTTCAAATAACAATTTTACCTTTGAAAATACTACCCCGTGTGTGTTTACAAATGGGAAGAAATCAGAACCGGACACAACCTATGTCTGTATCTATTATTATTATAACTAGCATTCTTAAAAAGCCATACCTTGGATATAAGACATATTAAAAATCAAGGCCTTAACTTTGATAACTTTTCTTGTTCTTATTCTACCTTAGCTTAAATTATATGCTAATAACCCTACTATACAGTGCAATGAGTAAATGGAGTATACGACAAGTACAATACAATAAGCAAAGGCCAATCACATATTTTTCATGGAAAAATTGGTACTGGAAGTTTTTCAGGTATAGTTTTCTTAAATTTTTCTGTTTTAAATGAAAATTGGGAATACTGTGTTTGCACCCAATTGTTTACCCAGATATGGTCCAAGGAGAGAGATCTTAATGGAAGAAGCATGACTGAAGTATAAATGGAAACTTTTCTCAAAGAAGAAATCTGGAAAGGCTATGCTGAGCCACAGCTACTGAAGCGTACTATATATTTTTGTGCTCTCTGCCTCTTAACCTGTGAGATGTGACCTGATTTTTCCCTTTCAAGCAAGGTCATCACTAAACTTACAGAAAATTAAAAATAAAATAATGCGAAGGAATAAAAGAAGAAGAGTTTAAGTGTATATTTTAAAATACCACAATGGTTTAAAACAACATGATGAAGGGTCACTTAAGAAGGGCACTGCTTAAAATTTAAGCAGACAGTAATAGAAAGCGACAGACCTCAAACAATTTAAGTCTTTCACAGATGAGTGAATTCACAGTGACAGGAAGACAAGGATGTGCTAACTTACCTCTGCAGGACTCTGGCGATTGCTTCATAGGCTCTCCCCAGGCTGAGATCATCATCCAAGTTTGTCGAGATTTCACCATAAGTGTTAAAGACCTATCAGGAGAGAAATACATATTAAACATATAGCACAGCCAGATTCACTGATGCTTCATTTCATAACAGAAAAGATGAAAATTTATAGTTGTTGTTAATGTCATCATAAAATATGTTTGTTTGTTTATTAAAAATTCATGTTGGTTTGGCTTATTTTTATCTATAGTATAACATGTTTCACAGAAGTCTCTTTAAACTATGACAGTGAGGTCTTACTTTTGTGAAAATAATTCTTCCCCTGCACAATCCAAAATCTTCCAATTTATATAACTTAGGTGTGAAAATAATTGAATGGCTTGCAGCATTATTTTAAAATATGAGACTATTATCTAAGGTAATATAAGGCAGATTATAATATTCTACTATGGTGGCTTAAATATCACTTTTCTTTCTATAAATAGCTGTTTGAAAAGCATGAATTTAGGTGCCAGGCAATTTCTAAATCCATCATTTTATTAGATACATATCTCACAGTTTGTACACGTATTCAGTATACACTAAAAATATTTCTTACGAATGTACTTCATTACCAACAATCTCTTCAATAATCAAAAGATTATGGCTGCCACAGCTAAATGTATGATATTAATTTAATTTAACACTGACATCATCTGTATGGTATAATTTTCCTTTTTATTCCTTTTCCCTTTCAATGGCCAGGAGGAGGAAAAACACGTAAAACAAAATTCCCATTCTTTCTTCTTCCTTCATTGTTACTTGACCTAACCTATTACACACATGAGGACACAGGAAATCTCCAAAGACCTCCATGGAAATCTTTTTCGCATGTTTTCTAAGAAAGAATTAGTGAAAGTCATTTGACAGTGTTGGGAGTCAGTGAGAGGAGGACATAAATGCCTGCTGTGTGCTACTACCTAAATTTGGCAGCTTAGAGGCTTAAGTACTAGAGGAGGTATTGATATTCATCTTTACTTTCTTAAATTTAAAATTTGGGAAATAATTTCAGTGAAGCCATTGTGATATCTCATCAGATTCGGGTTTTGCATGGTTTCCAAGTACGGACTTGGCACATACTGATATTAAACCTTACTCACAGATACATATTGACCCAGTGTTTTAATTCCCACTAAACTTGCAAAGTTCAAATTTTTTATTCTTATCTTTAAGCCTTTTAATAAACCTTGTATGAACTGAGAATATTCTTTTCACTGTCCCTTGCACAGCTGACAACACCTAGATTTAGTCAGACGTGACTTGACATGGCCCTTTCTGAGTCAAGGGGCAGAACTCCCGGATTATGTAATTTTATAGAAGACCTTATTCAATTCAAGTAAATATCAAAATTTAGGAAGACACTTTCTAGCATCTTTTTTGGGCCATTTTTTTTTTTTTATGTAGCATCCTAGATCTTTAAGATTGAATATTATATTTTGTGACCAAATAGTTTATTCAGCAGATATTGTTACTGCGTGCCAGTGGCTACTCTAGACCCTCGGAAATCTTAACTGGAAGAAACGTGCATGCAGCCCCCAAGGCATTTACACTCTGGTGGTACAGAGTAGGGATTGGGGCAGTTGTGTGAATTAGCAGTAACTGAAGACAGGCTTCTATGGGGCTTACACCGCTTACACTGCACCTCTCCTCCATGCCCTGGCCACCATGGACCCTGAAGCAATACGGTAACATGTGGGGGGCCCAGTTTTATCTTAGAGGTATGGCTCTTTGGCCTAAGGATAAAAGGGTAGGTGCCCAAGAAATTGCAGGTAGATACTTCAGTGTTGATGGCTCCTATCCCACAGCAGTGTGTCATGCTTCCAGGGCGCAACAAGGGCAAAAAAACAGTTCAGTCTGATTTTGGCTATAGATTTGATTCTCTAGAATTTCTTCATGGAGCCAGATGTGGTCTGTTGGAATGAACACTAATCTTAAAGTAACAAGACTTGGTTTCATGTCCTAATTCTTTCATGTCTAACATATCTGGGCCAGGATAGTTCGCTGAGTTTAATTTCCTGAGAAACATAAAAGAAACCCCACCTCTGAAAGCTGCTAGGGGCCACCATGAGCTAATAAAGAGTGCTATGAAAACTTCTGGACAGAGTCTTGGGGAATCGGTTCACCAGCCACCAGTGAATGCTCTTGGTGAAAGCTTCTCTCCTCAAAGTAAAGACAGCACATTTTATCTGTGGCTTGCAAGAGTTCCTATGTCTCCTTAAACACTTTACCTACAAACGGAAAATACATAGGCAGTAGGAAGAACATAGGTCATTACTGGTCCGATCGGGAAACAGTCAGTTCCATGAAACCCACGCCGAGAACCTTGATAAGAGCGCTGAAGATGCTCAGCTCAATCAAAGGCAGGGCCTCTGCTCCTCAGGAGCGTGAGCATGGTGGGAGAGGGAGAACTCAGACAGGTGGACTCAGGGAGAAGACAAGGCAAAACCCAGCGGATAGGTGAGCCGTGTAGGTCAACCTGAGGGGAGTAGGAAGGATATCATTAAGACAAAAAATAAAAAAAAATTAAAAAAAAAAAAAAACCCACATAAAAGTTAGTGGAAAAAGAATGTGAGATTATGGATTCTGTGGAAGATAAAGATGTTTTACATTGATCTTAGAGTAAGCTGCCTTACCTGCTTTTTAAAAGCAGCAAGGTATAATTTAAAAATTAATAAATATTGATCAACTAGAATCCTTAGACAAAGACTGGAAACAATTTACAAAGAATACTTCAGGTGAGAAAAAAACAGGGTGGAAATCTGAGGGATCCACTATATTTGATCGACCGTCCCTGTGGCATGCAATATGTTGGAAACAAATCCAGAGTCTGGAAAGTTAAAAATCATTACAAATGGAAGAGGAGAGAATAAAGAACGTCAGGTATAAAATATTTTGATAAATTAAAAATTCATATTATATCTTTAAATTTTATGGGCAATGAACCTAATCAATCTTTGTCAAAAGACAGAGGATAACACTGATTAAGCACCCTACTATACATATTTCAATGAACACCAAACTGCACGCCAACATAGTTACCAAAAATGGAGAAGCCAGTTCATATACCTAATAAGGATTATGTGCTACATGGCTACTCAATCAAATTACTCCAATAATTTCAGTAAATAATGGAGATGAAGGTATGAAAACTATTTCACTAGAAGTTTTAAAGGCAATGGACTTTATCTTCTCACTAGCATGAAATGTATTTACTTGGAAAGACATTTTCAAATAAAATCCAAATTCTTGAAATAATTTCTATTGGTCACCTAAAAACAAAATTAATAGAATACTTAGCATTAAAGTGAAAATGCTCAAAAGAATAATACTGGCAATATGCTACACATTCTTTGAAGAACTGTGTGCTGTAAAATCAAATTTAAAGGATCATTAATTTCTTTTGCTGTGATAGCCTTCAAGAGAACGTTGGATTTAAGTCAAGATTGTCATCTGTCAACAATGTGAGTGGGACACACACACACACACACACACACACACACACACACACACGCATATACACAAATTTTGAGCTTTGGCACTGTTAAGAAAGGGGGTCACACAAAAAGGCATTACTGGGTCTTGTAATATCAAACATTCAATCGTTTTCTTTCCTTTGCAGGCTTACAATTTCCACTTAGGTTTCCTTGGAACAGAAAAACACTCTTTGATATTTATGCCTCCCACTTCTTGACTTCCTCTATTTTCCCATTCCTTACCCCACTGTAATTTCTCTCTTATCGTCCCTTTATTTAGACAACATGAAAACAGAAAAAATGCCCACGATCGCGGCCTTTATATTAGCTTTCACAACTGAAACTTACTTTAAACCCTTCGGTTGACTGTCTCTCCTGACCTAACTTTTCCTAAAATTGGATGAAATCGACTCTCTACCCCTCTGCCAAGCCAGCTGTTACAAGAAAACATTGTCCCAGTTCACTTGTTTAAAAAACCTTTTATTTTAAGATAATTGTAGATGCACATGCAATGGTAAGAAATAACAGAGAAACTCATAAAACCTTCACTCAGCTTTCCCCAGTGGTAACATCTTGTGTAACTACAGTACAATATCACGGCCAGGGAATTGATGCTGATACTTTACTTACCTTACTCAGATTTCACCAGTTTTACATGCACTTGTGTGTGTGTGGTACTTTTAATGCTATTTTATCACATGGATAGATCCATGTAACCACCACCACAGTAAAAATCTAGAAAAGACCTATCACTGCAATGATCCCTCATGCTATCCTTTCTTAGTTCTTTTTAGATGTTTACTGTTTAGAATAGAAAGAAGAGAATGATAGAGAAAAACATATATTTTCTCTTTTCTTTGGGTGAAAGAAAGGTCTGCCCTGGGAAAAATTCTTAAAAAATTTGGCATCTTGCCTCTTCCTTTTTGGAACACCTCTCCTTCATGTGTGTTTGTATCTTCTCATGGAAATTTCTTCATCTAAGTGATAGAATGGTAGTTGATTAAACCAATTTATACTTAGGCATGAATGAATCAAAGATCATTAATTCTGCCAGAAGAAGCTATAGCTTTACAAAGAAGATGCTTGCTAGCCCCAAATCACTTCTCCTGTGGTGTTTTATGCAGTCTAACAAAGTGTGATGAAACAATTCAGATAGTGTGTGGCAGAATAATTCAGGGCAAAGGTTATAAAAAAAATGGCCAGCCTTGTCTTTAAATTCAACATTATGATATGACCCCATAAGCATTTTTATAGCATGAAGAGATAAAACAAGGGATGAGGGGAATGTGCAGCAGCAAATGTGAAAATCGGCCGTTTGTAAGTCACTGATACCTGAAAAGGTAACTATACACTATTTTCATTTCCTCTCATTATCACTTTCTTCATAATGTTCAACCTTCAGAACCAATGTATTATGCAAAGAATTCCTCTAGTACATTCCATTAGATAATTAGATGTAACTGCAAGACAAAATTATATATATGTAAAATATATATATATATATATTTCAATTCAAAGGTATATTTTATACACATGCACACACATTTATTTCGGCTCTAAAGACCTTAGTAT